CAAGAACACACATGTTTAACTAATTACTAGAAGGCCAAGATATTTATTTTTATTCAAAGATACGATGCATATGTAATATGTATTCAACAATGAAGGGGTATTAACTTTTTCCACTGGGATTCAGATGTCTTAAGAGCATATGCAAAAATTCATATTTATCAATCAAAAATCAAAGGGAATTTCTACTTTGTTTCCTTCCTAATTTTGTTTCTTTGATGCGAGAACTCTAAGGCTAGCTTCTAGGATTAGTATATATGGCATTTAGCCTAATGCCTTACTCAGTAATTATTCATCAAAGCTATTTACAAAGGACTGCTTCTACGCATAAAAACAGCTAGGCAAAGGTTAACTAAAATTGTGCTCTTTCTCAGAAAAATTATTACTATATAAAAATTAGATATACTCTTACATTTTTAGATTATAGGGAGCTAAGCTGTAGACAATTGCTTATTTGTAACTCAAAATCTGAGCACATTATTTCATGTGGTTCCTCTGATACAATAGTGGTGCCGCAGTTTAGTAACTAAATATTTAGTGGCAAAAAGCAAGGAAAGAGGTATGTCTAAGAGGAATATCTCCACAGAGAAGGGGTGTTTAGCTCACACACTGCCTCAAGGAGTAAAAGCTTCAACTAAGTGAAATCCTGACAAGGAGAAAACTGACAGGCTGAAGAATTAGCATGTGGAAAAGCAAGAAGCATGACAAGCGCAGTGCATTCCAGGAAGCACAGTGTTGAGCGTGATAGAGAAAAGGCGGCATGTGGAGGTGACGCTGGAGAAGGAGGGAGCAGTAGGATCCCCGAAGTGGGATTCCCTAACCAAGGACCTTGATGCATTTAAATCGCAAAGGCCCCTTCTGGTGGCACAATGAATTAAAGGGCAGCTGCAAAGCTAGACCCAACATGAATTTGATCCCTCAGCCAGGGAGGTGACCCACATGGTGCAGCAGACCTTTCCTGTCTCGCCGGCTGCTCCCCTCAGCAGTTTACTTTGTGGATCTGCCTGTTCTGCTTCCCACTCTGTCTCTGGTGAATCCTCTCATTCCTCCCTCCCCACACCTCTGGCCTATACCCCCAGTAGTTGAAGCATAAATAAGTAAATCTTAAAAAAAAAAAAAATCACAAAACTGATCCCTTCTGATTGCATTTTAGCACAATCACCTGGCAGCAGACGCTGGGTTGCCGATGTCGGTCTCTGGTACAAGAAGCTAACAACTGCCTACCTGAGAAGGGCTGTTCTTTTGTATGGCTCAGTGTGACATCAGTAGATATTTCCAAGTTTATTCTTCAGTACTATGCCAAGAGCACCAGATAATCTATTTGAATTCAGCTATAGACAAATACATAATGTCTAGATAGGAGGTATAAGGAAATTCTTACCAGTTACCCTCTATTTTCTGAGATGTAGGTAGCAAGGTCATCACAAGGCTGAGGGTTGATAGTGTTTGGGTTCTTCTTTAAAAATATCCACCAAGTCACAGTAAGAAACTGTTCTCTCATTCATGGAAAGACAACTTGAGGATTTCAGTGACGATTACTTCAAAGTTATCCTTGGGTCCTCCTGTGGGCAGTCAGAATCCTAAAACCTTGATGAGCACCCGAGGGTACTGATACTGTGACAGTGAAAATGCAGAAGGCCTAAGGAACCTATTCTTCACCTCACTATTAAGTTGACTTATTTATTGTCCAAAATTGCTGACATGACAGACATTCAACTTCAAAAGCAGCAATCTTACATACTTTAACTTAAGAATGTTTTATACATACGTGTGCACGCACACACTGTAAAGTCTTAAATATTTTGAGAAATTAAATAGCCTGAGAGAGCTGCAGACAAGCTCAGCTGGAAGGGGTGGGAGTCCCTGTGTTTTCCACGCTCCCTCACTGAGAGTGCTGACGATGATCCGTTGCCAACGATTTCTCTTAACCAAGCTCTACTCGGGCTCCTCTGAGCTCTTTTCAACCACACCTGGACTTTTGGGCTTCTGTGTTCATCTGTGCATGTTCAATTTTAGCAAGAATTCTGCATTTCAGACAGAACTCCCCCCTTCACTATCTGATTGCTCACCGTCCAATCATGTCCAGTAATGACCCTACTAGGTCTGTTTAGCCGCCAGCTCTTCCTTACTCTGATGTTTTCTCTCAGTAACTGCCCGTCCACTGCACCCTCCCTGTTGGCCCTCACTGAGGAAGCTTCTTTTATTTGTAAGATTCCGAGTTGAGGCTGATCTTTCTGCTTTCCTGCATGATCCCACTGTAGTGGTCCCTATACCTATCCTGATAGTGACTCCAGTCTACTTTATTGTTCTTTAACAAGTGTGATCAATACTTTCCTTTAACACTGCCAACCATGAAAAAGCGCAGCCAGCCCCACTGCCAATCTCTACATCCCCAGAGAAAATCACACGCTCTTGATTAATTGTTCCCTACTCTTAACTGCCACCTACACTCCTCACTGTGGGGCTCAACATCAGCCAAGGATATTGCACCTCCACCTACCCTCGTTTGGCCCTCCTAGCCCTGTGTATCCAACTCTAATTTTTGACAAAAGCTGGACAAAATCCATCGTGCCACTGATGTCTGTTCCACAGGTGCTTGTGAGCCTTAGGCCATCTGTCACTTTCCAAATCTTAACTTCCCACCTCCTTCTGCCTCATACACTACATGTCCCTTGCCTCCCCTTCCTTCCAGATGTTTCCAAAGTGCTCTCAAGAACTCCCTCTCGGATCAGCCACCTGAAGTGGGTGGGAAAGTGGGTCTGGATTAGGTGTGTATAGACTTAAACAGGCTCACTGTGGCGATAGGTCTAAGATGTGTTTCCCAGCCCATCTTTATGAGAAGTTATTTTTACATTTGAGGTTGACTGGGGGTCTGATTCCCCCTGCAGGAGAAAGATTATAACTGGCATGTCACTGATCCAATGGCAAAATGCAAGAATGCACTGACACCCCTCCCCTCCTGCCATGGTCTATCTTAAACTCCCTACACTTCCCTCCCCTTAGTCTGATTAAAGTGCATGCTCATCTTTATATTTGTTATCTGAAAAATACCCCTTTCTCTTTCATTAAAAACACATAATTTGATAAAAGGGCCAAATCTGTGATTGCCTACCTAAGGAAAGATTAAATCTAGATTAAAGATGAAATCTTCCCTCATTGGAGAAACAGAAAAATAGGCAGATGGACAGAGACACAAATAGGAACTGAAAAGTAACTTTTTCTGCCAGAGTCTTGTATTTTTAGATAATATTCTCCAGCTTCACACCATCTACTTAATGACGAGTGGTTTCACAATTTCCTGAAGTTTTGCCTTTCAGTTAAACACTGAGCCCGGGAGCCAAGCGGGGCTTTCTTTTTTCCCAGTGGATTCTCTATTTTCAAGTACTCTGTGGCTCAGTCAAAGATCACCTTCTAGAATGGTGAGAAAAGTAGAAGCACAACTTAAATTGGTTCGGGGCTCAAGAGGTCTCAATGTCTAGAGTTCCTAAAACTTTCTGTGGTTGCTAACCGTCTCCTTGGAAATCACTGCCAAGGTGTATAAACATTTTCGAATGAAAAATTCTAAGAAGGCTCTGGATTCCTGGGGACTGTGGAGGGAATAAATCTGCTCATATTCTGGCCAAAGACTTTTCACCAATGCTATCAGAGCCAGTAGGCCTGAAATTGATCCCCATTACTGTTACTAACGTATCAGACTTGAGGGTTCACCCCAAGGGAGTTAACTCCGTCCTGCCTTCCTGCTGTGTCGGCTGTGTGGTGGCGTAAGGAATGGGTGGCAGCTGTGAACGATGCATGGAGTGAGAGTTGCCTGTGGCAGGTGGTTCCTTCAGAGCCTTTTTCCTTTCTAGTCTTCTACTCTACTGTCAATCCTGGCATAGAATTCATCTAACTGGAATCTTATTTGTAATAGAGAAGGCTAGCTGTTTAGCAATATTTATGTTCTGCTTTTCCTTCCACCGAGAACCTCTGCCCAAACTCTTGAGTCTTGGTGTGGCCATGACCTTGAGTTTCAGAGTGTCAAACTATAGGCCATGCCTTTCTGTTTCTGGCTTTGGGCCTAGAACAAAAGTTTTCAGGGGCTAATCCAAAGCTGTATGTGATCAGCTGGGAACAAAGTCAGAAGAGGCTAATGGCCCCCAGAATGCCAGTTTTAACATTTATAATGAAGCTTTGCAGATGCGGCCACCGCCTTGCTCCTGACACTGCTGCAGACAGCAAGCCAGTGGGCCACCTCTCCCCTGAGCTCATTCCCTGAGGCCTGGGAAGAAAGGATTTGGTCATACACATTCCTACTTTCACTGGATTATTCTGGGATTTATGTGATGGTGTGGTGAATTCAAATGCTATTAGTGGCATGTGAATTTCAAGTCTATGGACAGGGAGAAATTTGGTACGAATTTCATCCTGAAGCAAAAAGTTCCTCTTATCTTGTCAAGGCAAATACTGAATCCAGCACCAATGGGTCCCAGCTTTTCATCTGCATGCCCAGGCCCACTGGGTGGAAAGCATGCAGGCCTTGCCACGGATAAATACTGTGAAGTGTGTATAAACAGGGAGCAAGTCTAGGAGTGCTTGGCTCCAGGAACGGCACAATCCAAGAGATCAGCATAGCAGACTATAGGCAAATCCAACAAATTTGACTTTTTTAAAATCTGCATTATAATTTTTAAAAAATTGTGTTTTAGTGAAGTAAACTGGCTTACAACATTGTATACAGTTTAGGAACATAGGTTCACACCTCTTCAGATGGATGTCACCATCACACACCCATCACCCAGCACCCATATTCCTTCTTCTTCTTTACTAATACTTAAGTACCAGACAATTCCTTCAGAAAGCACAACTTGCACCCCCATCTGCTAGAAATCACCTATCATCTCTGGGCTCCCATTGCAGTGCTTCTATTCTTCCTTATGCCTCCCAAGTCTAGCTCAATCACAGTTTAATTTATAAAATCAAAAATAAATAAAAAAAGCATTTAGGAAGAGAAGTATCAAACATACCAGAATGTTCATGTTGGCTCACATCCTTAAGAAGAACCTGTGCTCTTCCAGGCTTTTCCACTTCAAGGAGGGGCAGGCAGTGGTGGTGAGGCCCTAAGGGAAAGAGAAATACAGAAGAGGGTCACTGGGCCACTATGGAAGGAAGAACCCCCACCAATGGAAGCATGTACGGAATCCTTGCAGAAGCAAGAAATAACCTTCTACTGCATTAATCCTTACATACTTCTGTCTCTGTGACCTGGCTTACCTGAAATCATTCAATAGGTTGTTTGTTTGTTTTTTTTAAGATTTATTTATTTATGCATACAGAACTGGGTCACAGGCTAGATGTGCAGGGGTGGTGAGAGGCTTCACCAGAGACAGAGTGGGGAGCAGCATAGGAAGATCGATGAAGTACACTGCTGAGGGGAGCAGTGGCTGGCTCAGGAGAGGTCTGTGGGTCTTGTGGGTCACCTCCCTGGCCAGGGATTGAACTTGCACTGAAGCGTCTGTGGCTAGCTTGCAGTGCTGTGTCCTTACCTGTTGTGCCACCTTAGAAAGATTTTAACATTTCTCTTGTATTTACTCAGGAATATTTTCTCCAAAGAGAAAATAGCCTGGCCCATCTGTATAGAACTTTTCAAGACTCCAGTTTTTGCCGTTCACATTCTCCTAGTGAACGGTTTATTTTGCACAGCCACGCTTATTTTAAAGTTAAGATTCCCTTAAACCTTGATATTCCTTATCTCAAATGTGCTCAGTCACTTTTATTGAACCTGTTTAGGCTGCAAGAATCCAATCCTGAAAGGGAAGGCATCGGGTAGCCACTGCGTTTACTGTCGTAGCTATGACCTCTCAGGCCAAATCACGGCCCTAATTTGTGTTAGTTGCTTAATGACCACCATCTTTGGGGTGTGATTTTGTGGACGTTCAAATGCCAGAGAGAGAGGAGTAGGAGAGCTACAAAGCACAAACCAGGACCCCCTTTATTCAATTAAAGGGCTACTTGTGGCCAAAAGTAGCCTTAGATCTTTTTGCCCAGGACATGGGCTGGATCCATGAATGTGCTAACTACTAACAAGCACTGTATGCAAGACTTCTGTAATTTATGATTTGATTCCATCTTCACAACCACCCTGGGAGGCAGTAGAGAGGGCATTTTCAGTCTGGGATTCCATTTGAAAATGCCGGAGTGTACACATTTAAGGAACTGTGAGCCTAATATTGGTGGCCTGAGTCCACATTGTGTATTAAAGGACATACTGAGTCTTGTCTCCAATATGCCATTTATCCTTAAGACCTGTGGCATCATCTGAGTCGATTTCCAAGGTTCCTTCAGTTGACATGTTTTATGAGCACATTCTGCTGTCTGCTGTCAGAGAAAAAGGTTTCTAAGTCCTCACTGTGCTCAAGGCCTAGGGTCTTTTTCTTTCACTAGCTTTGTCTTCACAACATTGAAAATGGTTCAGGTTTTATTTACTAATGAACCCCTTCTTCATTCCTCTTCACTCAACATTGATTTCATGCTCTTAAATATGTTACATTTGAAGCTGTGATTTTTCCCTGGAATCAAGCCAGGAACCAAGTTAATCTCAGCCCATTACACTACTAATGCTTATCTTCACCTCAGGATGTTTTCCAAAGTACTCAGAAGTCATTATCCCTTTTAGGACCTAGCAGTTTACGAAGTTTCCACTTTGCTTAAAGTTAGTGTGACCATATAATTTACTTCTGCAACCAGGATACTTTCAGTGAGCAAGAAAGTCTAATGAGTAACTACACTAGGACTAGTGGCTGCTGGGAATGTCTCAATTGGGCAATATGTTTACTTAGTTAACAAACACATCTCTTGATAATAAGGGGGTATGTTCTCGTTATCTCTGTTTTTATATCAGCATCAATTATTTTTCTTTTGTAACTCTTATCACAAGGCAGCATTACAAGAACACATTTTACAAAGTACTTTTGAACTATCTGTAGTGCTCACAAGACATTTTATTCCAAATGGTAGTATTTACCACAACATTTACCATATAGTATGTGCATGATCAATGCTTGTTTACTATACAAAGACATCAGACAAATGATTCAAGAAGAGTTTGAGAATGCAAAAGAGAAAATGCCAGAGATTGAGCTGCACTGGCAGATTTTAGACCTAAGTATTGCTGCCTTATAGTTCTGGTATCTGGGATAAGTCTCACCACTGGCACAGCAACTGATTTTCTGCAGACAAACAGTTCATTTCACTGGCATTTCAAAGTGTATTCACAGTGAATCTAAGAATTCACTATGGGAATTCACATGGACTTCTGGAAGCTCCTGGAGCTCCACAGAGGCAGGACTTTGCGGGCAGAACACCGGTCTCAGAGACTACTCATCACCAACACAAGAGCACCACACACTCCTACCAGAGTCAACACTAGTAAGGACGGAGTGGACCGACTCATGCAAATCAGACTCAGAAGAGATGAATTAATGAACTACAATGCCACCTTTAGGTTTTACAAAACAAACTGGGTCATGCTGAGTAGAACATCTCTGTCTGCTGGCCTCATTCCTATGGAGAAATGTGAGTATACGTAAAGGCTTCTTGGGAATTCAGACTCTAGGTATGTAGTTACATGAGCTCAATGATGTCGGAATAAAGCTGAGAGAATGTGGTGTGCTCAGAAGCAAGGCGTAAGACAATGTTAGGCACTTGCAGAACAACTCAGTTCTGCCCTCTGGAGAACCCTCTCTTATACAGAGTCAAGAAGGGCACACATTTCTAATTTTAATGCATGATATAAAAATGTTGGTAATAATAAACTACAGAATGATACACTTTTAACATTTTCAATAAGAAAATGAGAAGTAAAGGGGCAGAAATAACATATCTTCACGACAAGTATATGTCTTGGAAATCCTACATGCTTGACAGAATTAGGATCTAGATTTGAGCCTGGCTTTCCAGTAGCAAGGATAGAGGAAAAACTGATTGATACGTCCTCTCCGGTTTCCATTTATCATCCCCTCCTGCCTGACATGTTACCAAATAACTGAGCAGTTAAGTTATAGCCTGGTTTCAAAAACTGAACTGGACTGAAAGACCAGGCACCGATTTACCTACCACCTCCCAGGGAAGACACTTCTAAGAAGGACGCATTCATTCTTACTTCATTTCAGAGGGTATTTCTTAATTCCAAGCTCTATAAGGTGTGTCCTCTTTGGAAACAGAGTCTTACACACTACTGATTGCGGTAAAGGGATTTCTAGTAATGATAAAGATATGGCACATTCTTAGGTTAAGTGTGATCAACTAAACTTTCTAACATGTAAAGCATAGATTTTTCTTTTTTTAAAGTGAGCACTTTTCCTTCTTTGCAGAGATGTGTTCTCCTATAACTGATAATACCAAGATTCACATTTTTTTTTTTTTTTGGCCGCTGGAGATGCCGCTCGGGAGTCGGCAGGATCCGGCTTAATTTTTTCTTTTTTGGTTTTGGTTTTGGTATTGTTTTATTTTCCCCAACACATCTTAAAAATCACACATGGGCATTTGCTTAGAGTGAAAGTCCCGATAATTTGTCAGTGCCTTAAGTTCCTTCTTAAAACATGGTGTGACCACAAGAAAATAATAGCATGCTATACAGCAATGGCTTAAATCTGAGATCTACTCTATTCATTATGTCCCAGCCAAACGGGCATGTGTCATATTCCTCAGGATTACAATTTGGTTGAAAATTACCCACAGAGAACAGTATTTGGAGAAAGACTTAAATCTTTAATAAATAAAGTCATCACTTAAGTTTGTCATTAGCTGGGATGTGGTAATGGTTTTGATTTAGTGAGTTTGTTGTTATTTGTTTTATTGTGATCTAAGTTATGTTTGAAAAGAGAACTACGAAAAATTCACATCTGTCCCAACTTTATGGTAAGGAATTTCATTAACATACACATCATTAACACACACACACACAAAGACAAAGGAAATTCCAGCAGCAATATAAAGAAAATTCTATGGCACAAACATCTGAAAACACAATAATCTATCATCTACCAAGGTGACATACTGCTAACTTGCCTAGCCAAGGATAAGTAACAATCTTCATAATGCTCACGAATTACATTCAATTAAGCATCAATAATTCCACCCCTCATTAGAGATCATCAGTGTCTAGAAACTAAATCGACAGATGTTGCTAAAATTTTGGCTGGAATTATATAGATGAAATAATACTGGAGTTACAGAAAATTCACGAAGATATTTAGTAAAACATCCATAATCAGCGTAGATTCCCTTTAGGAATTAGTTATTTATGAGGTTTTTTTTTTTTTTTTTTTGTGGTCTCTAGAACATAGTCTTATGAGGGCCAGAATTTGAAAAGATCTTATTTATAAATAATATACCAACTCATGGGCCCAAATTATTACTAAGTTGCTATCCTGATTTAGCAAAAGATGACAGAGCTTGAGAAAGGGACAGAGCTTGAAATTCAAATCTTCAAAGGCCAAGTTCTGAACTATTCTGTTACACAACTATAATAAACACAGAAATGTCCATGGGTATATTTTTGCTAGGACTAGGGTCTTTGGGTTGTGTCATTTTCACAGGGCTTTTCACTTTCAAAGACTAAGATTTACTGTTTCATTGACCAATTTGGAAAATGTACAGAGTCATAGGGTTGACAGGATCAGATAAGAATAGGACAAACACAGTTAAAAATCAGAGGCTTAATTTACTAATAACAGAGGAAGATGTTTAGCACATTAAAAAGAAAGTACAACATAAACTTAAAAACCAAACTCAACAGGAAGTCCTTGTAACAATTTCATTAAAGCAAAACAAGAAACACATGAATGAAAATGAGTTGCAGAATTTCCAAGAGTCACAGTAAAGAACTGCAGAGGTTAGTGATGACACTGGCCAAATATTAGGGTTTCTCGGTTTCTCATAGTCTGGAACATTCAGTTCATGACAGTGTTTAGTATTACTTTCACTTATATTGGGGTGTCCATGCACCCTATGGATAGATATTAGGAAAATCAGAACTCCGTCCAAAAAAAAAACCTGTTTCAGAGTCTCCTTTGAAGTTATTTGCAACTTAGATCTCTGCAAGTGCTGACTAGTCTCT